AGTTACCTTTTGTAAGGATACCTCTGGCTCTAGTTTCCCTATATGATTCATTTATCAATTGAGTATTAATTTATTAATAAAATAACAGTTACTGGAGGTCCACTGTGTGCCAAGCGCCGTAGTGAGTGAGGCAGGCAAGGGCCTGCCCTGTGGCTCCCAGTTTTCACTGCTTTATCAGCTCCATTTGTTCAAGGTTTCAAAACAAGCAATCTGGACACCAGGGATAGATTTTCTTCCCTAAAAGGTATTCAGTGTCAAGCACAGAGTGTAATGAGTGTCATTGAATTCCAGGACAGAAAGAGTCAGAGTCCTGGATAGACTTCTGTCGTCTCCCTGATTGTGGTTGCCATGAAGCGTAATGATGATCTTTGAGGCCGTGGTAACTCGGAGCTTCCTTTGACCTTTCGGAGCTTCCTTTGACCTTTCCAAGTCATGTCTTTGTCCAGTCTGCTAGGTGGAGGTGCATTAGCTTGACGGGCAGGTGGGTGTGATTTGCCATCTAGGCTCTCTTCCCTTTGGGAATGTAGCAGAGCCATTGCCTTTGGGTGTGAAGTTTTGCTGTTGGGAATAAATGGGAGTGGCGCCTCTGAGGCAGCCTGCAAGGGTGGGAGTGAGCAGGAGCCCTGGCCCAGGCCAGAGTGGGTGAGCAAAGCCCTGTCTTTATAATGGCTCCTCAGTGAATGCCTCCTGTTCATTCCTATCTGCACTGAACATTGATGAAGCTCCTACTGTGTACCTGGAGCTCTGCTAAGCGTTGCCAGTAGAGAGACAAGCAAAACTCCTGCTTTCAAGGTACAGTTTCTTGGGGATTTAAGTAGGAGAAGAAATGATACAGTCCCACAATTCAAAGAGCTGTGGGGCACGGGGAGAGACTTTCACTGATAAGGTGACATTTCAGCTTGGTCTTGATGTATGGCCAGAAAGATAAAGGCCATTGCAGGTGGTGGCAGAAGCACCCAGATGGAAATGCCTGTTCTTTGTGCTTCTTCAGAAAGGGAAGAGGAAAAGAGGTTAAGGAACAGGGCTGTACGGGAGAGTGGCTGGGGCCCAGGCAGAACTGGATGGTCTCTTCCGCTCACCTCGCCTGAGACTTCCCTGCCACAATGCATTCTTTCACGTACCCCACAGATATGCAGAATCTCCACATTCTCACCTCAGGTTCTTCATTACCGCAGCCATGAATTCATCTTGAGGTCTAGATGCTCTATAAGGCGAAAAGGGACATCTCTCTCAAGGGCATATACATCTGAACAGTTTTAAAAATATTAAGAAAAAAAATTTTAAGCCAGAAGATTGCTGCTCTGAATGGGTTCCACATCAGATATTGGGCAGAGGATTTGGCTGGAGAGGAAGTGAGAATAGGGTCTGCTCAGAACCTGTGAATTACCTAACTCCTAACTTTAGATTCTAGCCTTAGGGCCTTGGGTAACATCAACCATCAAGACCTTGTGAATTCTCAGCCACCCAGATACCTGGGCAGTCATGGGGTGTTTGACTCATCAGCACCTGGGCCAAGAGCCATTCCCCGACCTGGAGCATCCTGCAGTGGTGACGGCTACACCTTCCTGAGCTACCCTGTGTCCATACAAACTTCATATATCTGCACTTAGACATTCTGGGCTAGTTGAGCTTAAAGGTCCTTCCAGGGAGCAATATACTTGGATTAGTTGGCTAGGAAAAGGCAGGCATGGACGTAGAAGCAGGGAGTCAGGGGCGGTGGAGGAGCTGCCATGGTCCAGGTGGATATTGTGAGTGGGGAGGCCTCGGAGGCACATGGCTGCCAGGACCCGTCTTGCTTGCAGGCTCAGCACCAAGAACCCATCTACTTTTAAGCCTGTGCCTATCACTTTCAGGTTTTCAGGGGAAGAAGATTCAACCCTCCCAAAACAACCATAGACCCCACATAGACCCATGAGAATACGAGAGGTCTGCAGCTTGAATGAGAAAGGACTCTTGCCCAGTCCCACCTCCTAGGACAGGTGCTGGGCTTCTTGGATCTGCTGATCAGGTGTCTGAAATTGCATGCGCCATTTCCAGCCGTGGGGAGTGACCAGGTGAGCCCCACACTATCGTGAACACTTTTGTTAGGAACAAGGACAGGGGACGACATGGAAGAGGCCCTGGTTTCACCCCAGTCAGAGCCACCAGCCCTCCTCCCCCAACTCTTGGGGACTGGCAAAGAGACCCACCCTTTGTGTCCGGGCTGCGCAGGTATGTTCCTGGGAGCACTGTTCAAGAGCGATGCTCTGAAAACAAGAGTTGCGGTGAAGCAAGTTTGGGAAATGCTGTGGGCTGTCCACAACCCTCTTTGTGTGTGTGTATGTGTGTGTGTGTGTGTGTGTGTGTGTGAGATGGGGTGTGATGTGGTGTGTGCACACTTTATGCAAAAGTATTAAAGGCTCCAAGAAGTCCCGCTGAGGAGAAACCTGCCTAACTTCATCCAACCCAGACCTCCCCTCACCGGTTTGACAGCCGGTTCCTATAGGACTAGTATTTCGTGGCCTGCATTTTAGGAACACTACTCTCAACACCCTCAGTTCCTATTGTTTTTCGTCAATGACTTGTATATGTGTTGTCAGTTCCCTTTCTGGACCCATCCCCCAAGCATGTTTTCAGAAAAGGGTATGGATTCCTTGGCCGCCATTGTGGCCGGGTTTCCATCTGCAATTTGCAGGATGAGTCTGGGATTCTGGGTGCCTGCGCCAGGCCCAGGGCAACCTAGACTATTCAGAAGGCTTATGGGACACTGGGTCCTGGGGTGGTTTCTGGTCGCTCTGCATTTGTTCAGAGGTCTGGGTTACAGCCATGATGGGAGGTGAGGAGCTCTCCCCTGCGATCAATGGGCAATGGGTGCCCTGGGCATGGGTGGCCCTGTGTTGGGGGGCCAGTCCTGAGAAGATGGGCTTGCTAGTTGGGTGGGCATCTGTGGTGTGTGTCTGCTGGCATGTTTGGCTCTCAGGGCTTGGCACCCAGAGTGTTTGAAAGAGGAGAAATGCCCATGGGTGCTGAGGGACTTTCCATGTGGGGAGGCTCCCCTCTGAGTGGGAGGGTTTAAGCAGGCGCAGTGGGGTGTGGAGGCAGCGGACAGGCTCTAAGGTCCTCTGAGGCTGGGCCCATTTTTAGTTCCAGTGGCTGAGCCTCAGGGCAGCAGAGGCCCGTGGAGCAGTCTCTGGGATCTGTGTGCTGTGTGAGTGTTAGAGGTGTGTGGGAAGGAAGGATGGTGGTCAGCTGCTGGCGAGTGAGTGTGACTCTCCAGTGTGACTCAGGGATGGCTGGTAGTGGGGGAGGAGAAGGCACTGCTAAATGAGGATTAAGAGAAGGACTCAGGGTTCACACACAGCCAGCATCTCAGCCCTATAGCCCCCATGCCAGTACCATGACCAGAGCAACTGGTAAACAGCTTACATCCCATTGTATACATTGCCCCAAGCCCTCTACCCTGCCCTCCCCAGAGAGGCCCTGGGTGCTAACTTAATGTTGTGTTACTGCCGTGGATAGCCTGACAGGATGGGGGACATTGTGGGGATAGCTGTGATTTGCTCTCCTGTACTCCATGAGAGGGTTCCAGGCCCTGCACCCTACACAGCCTGCCTGGGGATGTGGGGAAACAAGACCAGTCCCTTTTCTTCCTTCCACTCTGCCAGATCTACTGCTCCTCTCTTCTGCTTGGATTCCAGAATCTTCTAGAGCACAGGTGCTCAGCAAGACCAGTTGCAGTAGCAAACTTGTGTTTGTTGTAACAGTAATTATAGAATGAAATCCCAACACACACAATGACAACGCTGGGAGCTGACGATTCCCTCTCTCTTTCCTTTTTTTTTTTTTTTTTTTTTTTTTTTTTTTTTTTGGCTTGTTTTTTTTTTTTCCTTTTTTTTTTTGCAGTCGCTATCTCAGCTCACTGCAGCCCCCACCTCCTGGGTTCGAGTCCTTCTCCTGGCTCCGCCTCCGAGTAGCTCCCAAGTAGCTGGGACTACAGGCGTGCACCGCCACACCCAACTAATTTTTATATTTTTAGTAGAGACGGGGTTTCACTATGTTGGCCAGGATGGTCAATCTCTTGACCTTGTGACTTGCCCGCCTTGGCCTCCCAAAGTGCTGGGATTACAGAGGTGAGCCACCGCTCTCTCTCTTTTCTGACAGTCCTTCCCACCTCCCTCCAGCATGTAGCAAAAGTTTCCTGCAGGAGTCTCAGGATGCTGGCACCCGAGTCATAGTCCTGTTTTTTGAAAAGGCACAGGGAGCCCCTCACCTATTTTCAAAAACATCTAACAGAAAAAAAGCCTGCATTCATTCATTACAGTGTGGTTCTTAGAGGACTGGACTTTGCTGTCCTGGATTTAGACTCGTGATCAGTCCCTTTCCTGCAGATGCAGATGCTTAGGAGAAAATAAGGTGGGAGAAAGCAAGCCTCTCCTGGCCCCCAGAAGTACATTGCTGAATGGAATTTTAAAACAGAAGAAAGCTCACATGGAGAGAATTGTTTCTTTTCCAGGGGATCTTCTGTTACTCAGTGGAGCAGTGGTTCTAGAAGCAGGCACTCCAATTGTGAGCCCAGGGGATTGCAGCAGCTGGATCTGTACACAAGCATCGTTACCCAGTCCAGCAGCTTGAAGGCTGGGGAAAACAGGGGTTTGCTATGGCATTGATTACGTTCCTTCCTCCCTTCTTCCTACTTCCATTGTCAGCTCTGGTTATTGGACTTGGTATTGATTTCACTCAGTAACTGCAGTGTCCGCCATAGGCCCAGCTATATTATGTGTTGGCTACATACGTTCTTTTTTTAGAGAAGATGCTTTGTGTTCAGAGACCAGGTACAAATGTTTGTGTTTTCACATGCCATGGACCATTCACTGCCCTGCCTGCCTGTTTACAAATATAAATCATGCAAACTGTACAGACACAATGCGGGTTGATAGAGCTTGTGTGCTTATGGGCACAGCCATCTTGGAGGCTGTGTCTCTCTCGTTTGGTGAATTTGTTCCTTAACTCCACTTTCCCACGCCGTTTGAGTACATGATTCTGGCTACCATCATCGCCAACTGCATAGTCCTCGCTCTGGAGCAGCATCTTCCTGAGGACGACAAGACCCCCATGTCCCGAAGGCTGGTATGTGCCTCCTCTCCTTCTCCCCTTTCCCCTTTTCTTTGTCTTCTGTGGTTTCTTCTCTGCTGTATCACTCTCCCCTTCCCTTCCTGCCTGTGAGTTCTGGGAGGGATTTGCTCTTTGCTGGGAGACAAGTCAGTGACAGACCCCATGGGGATTTTCACAAGGAAGAGAAGAGATTACAAACACTTGTGTCTGTGCTGTGTGGCAGCCAGTGAAGAAGAAAGGGCAGGCACAGGTCCATCTTCTTCCCTCCTCTTTCCTAAGGGACTTCTGACACAAGAGGAAGGGGTGGGGGGAGTAGAGGGGAGAGGATGAAGGATGCTCAGTTCTTGTGCGTATTTGTGGTTATGAACTTTCCAGTGCTTACGTCCTTATTCTCCTTAACGAAATGAGTCACACGTCTAACGTATTCCCCCTAAAAAGAGCAGACAGATTGCCTGAAATCCATGTGTGTACATGCAATGACGACCCTCAAGCTTCTAACTTATGTGAAGAGCAGCAAACTCCTTCAGGGCAAAGCCAGGGCCATCAGGGACCTTCCTGGGAAGGAAGTCTAGCTCCGGGTGTGACCCCCGCATCGTCCATTTCTACAGCTAGCTCCCCTGGGGCTCCCTTGCCCTGTGTACTCCTGAGTCACAGAGAGCCTGCGGCCCCTCTGTCCTTAGCACACTTGCTCCCTGCCTACACATGAGCAGGCCCAGTACAGACATCCGGGAGGGGCTGGGCTATGCCTTTGTCTGTGTCTCATAAAGCACAGTCCTCTTCTCACTGGTGGCTCTGCTCCTCATCTCCACAGGAGAAGACAGAACCTTATTTTATTGGGATATTTTGCTTTGAAGCTGGGATCAAAATTGTGGCCCTGGGATTCATCTTCCATAAGGGCTCGTACCTCCGCAATGGCTGGAATGTCATGGACTTCATTGTGGTCCTCAGTGGGTAAGTCCATTTTCTCTCTCTCTCTCTGTCTCGTCTGTGTGTGTGTGTGTGTGTGTGTGTGTGTGTGAGTTGGGTGCTCTGTGTGTGAAGAGGGTTGGTACCATGAGGTGCCCAGGGGCAAGGAACCTGGGGTGAAAAGACAGCAGTGTTAGAGTAGGGGGCAGAAGACAGAAGAAAAAGTTCAAGGCTAAGATTCCCAGGGTGCTGGACCATAGGTCAGCCACATCAAGAGGAGGGTGAGCACTGTGTGGAGGTGGGTGTGGTGTTAGGCAGAGGCCATGGGACTCTCATGGCAGCTGCTACTTCTGGTTTTCTGTTCTGTGCTTGACTCAGTGGCTGAACACCCACTTCCCTGGGGAAGGTGACATTTCCCAGTGAGGCTTTTCACCAAAGCAAGCAGCTTACCCCCGCCTGGGAGGCACCCCCAGGATGGGCCAAAAGTTGCAGTCAAATTCACTTTCTTTGGGGGAGTTGGAGAAGACCACAGCCATATTTTCTGAACTGATAATTGAGATTTGTGTTCTGACAACAGGATTTTTTATGATTTGCAGATTTATTAATAGTATAAAATCAAATCATTTAAAAATGTTGGACAAATCGTTCTGTGGAAGTTAATATAGTAATACGACATTGGGGCTGACCCAGTGTCACAGCAGCATGTGTGATGGCAGTACATTTAGTTAAATATTTGATAAATCATTCTTTTGGAAATGAATATGGTATGAGGGTGTTGTCTTGACCCAGTGTCTTTGGCAGCAATTGTGTTGGCCTTGGGAACGGTGTGATGGGCAGGCCTCCCTGGGCTTTTGTGGCTCCCTGTTGGTCTTTGTGTCACGTGGCTCTTGGGGCCTGCAGGGCTGGGGACTGGGGAGTGGTCCTGTGTGGATGTGGCAGCAAGTGATGTGGTCTGGAAATGCCCTTACCCAGCTGCTTGGCAGACAAGAGTTCAAACCCATGAAGAAAAGAAGAGAGCGACTTCGAATGACAGGGAAGGGGAAATATTAGCTACTACTGTGATTGACCAAATGGAGAGAGGAGAAGAGAGGAATTGTTTTCCAGGGAGGAGTCAGAGGAGGGGCAAAGGTAGGTAAAGTCTTAGAAGGAAGGGTAAGGGCTTGAGAATGATTGCATCCATCTTCTGTCTTGTGGAATAGACAAAGTACTCTTATTTTTAACCTTTACGCCATTGGGATTGAGTGAAAGAGAAAACCCTGAAGATGTAATGGCCTGGAATATGCAAATGGAAGCCCGTAAGCAGCCAGCCCCTCAATCTGGGAAATGGATAAATAGACAGGGATGACTATTCATGTTTAAAAATATCTGTTGCCTTACAGAAGGATTTTCTGGAAGTTTTTTTTTTTCTAAAAGAAAATTCTACTACTACATTTTAAATGTGCTTTAGTATATGGAGATATAGTTTCTACATAGTGTTACAGAAGTACATTGGGTAATGTTTTCAATGTCCCTAAAATAAAATAATATGTGCTGATTAGAAGAGGCCTATATGAGAATCTGAGTCATTTAGAAATGTTATGATTATATCTAGGAGGAAAGTGTTGGGTAAGTTACTACAGAAGAGCAAAAAAAAAAAAAAAAAAAAAAAAAGAATAAATGTCAGGAAGATAAGGCAATGCAAATATAACAAAAAAAAAAAAAAAATAGAAAACTATTGCAATGTACATCTAATATGTTAAGCTGAACGTGAATTCTTGGTCCTGCTCAGTTCTATATGTGGCAGAGTCCCTTTGAAATTTCTTGTCTACTTCATTTATTTTTATTTTAAGTGATTATATGTTCATTAAGGATATATGGAAAATAAAGAAAAGTCAAAAGAAGAAAAAATAATTCACTGATGAAGAAAAATTCCTGATTATGTTGGAGTATCTTTTCCAGGCCTTCAATGCTAAGCAAGCTCTCTTTAAATGCTTGTAATTTTGCTGCTTTTTCTCAAAATAGTATAAGCATATAACATGGTATTGCATATTTTGGCAAAAATCTGTAATGACTGATCAGTTCATTAAATAGATGTACACGTCTTGCTTCTCATTTTTGGATTCTTTCTGTGTTTTGCTGTGATAAATAATTATTAAAGATGCTCCAACGTACGTCTTTTGGGTGTCACATTTTAACGAGGCATTTTACAAGGCCGAAGAAGTAATTCTGGAGGAGAACCCAGCTGTTCTATTCTGGGGTCTGGGAACTATGATGGGTGTGAGGAGGTGGAGAAACTGGACCATGACTGCGTGAGAGAAGACTTACAGTAGATGATAATCTCTCTGCAAATAAGGGTTGCCACATATTGTTGAAGAAGCAGATTAATAGGGACCCGTAGGTTCCACACAGCCAAGAAGGGCCCCAGGGTCCTTGCCTGAGTGTCCAGGGGGTGCTCAAGAGTCAGCGCAGGTGCTGAGCGTGGCTGAGTCAGTTGTCCCGTGCTCTCCTTCCCATCCCTCACATCCTCCCTTCTTACTGGCTCTTCAGATGTCCCTGGCTTTGTGGATTGCCTTAGCAGGCCCCTGATTTCCATCTGAACTCACCAGACTTTGCTCCTATTCCTCCTCCAGACCTGCTGCTTACCCTCTTCTCAGCATGGACCATTGCCTTTCTCTGTCCTTGACTCATGGGTGAATATGCTCCAGGCAAAGAACTTGGCCCTCTCGAGATCCTCGCTGAGGGTTGCGGTTGTATCCCACAGGAATGGATGATCATATTTAGTCTTACAGTCACATGGTGCTCTCATCTACCACATTGTGTGGCTCTAAGATGCACGTTTTTCATGCTGGAACTTGGCTGAAATCAGCCTGTATCTTACAATAATGGCATGATATAGCTTAATTGACAGCATGTTTTTCTTTCTTAGTGTTACATAAAATTATGGGACATCTTACAATTGTTATGGTTGTAGATTCAATGACATGGGAAACCAACCAGAGAGGCAGGCAAAGCAGCCTTTAGACATGAGTCATCTGGCACTCGAAGAGGGTAAGTTATTTGCCCAAGATCACCTGCCCCTTAATGGCAGATGTGGGAGTCAGAATGGTGCCCTTTCATCCGGGGCTGGTGCTTTGACCCCTGCCCTGTGCAACCTCCTCTCCAGGCCACCCGTTATCCCCCTTTGTCTTCCTGACACCTGCACCCACAGCAGTCCCTGCAGACAGCTCTTCCTTCCCACCTCACCTCCAGGTGTCACCCCCTATTTTCCCCTGTGCACAGGAGGAATGACAGGTGCCGGAGCATGACACAGTGCCTCAGGGCTGAGGCTGCACAACTTCTCAGCTCTCAGTGCTGACTGAAGTGGGTGCTGAGGTGTCAGTCAGCTGGCTCAGTGTAAGACCTGCTGTCGGTGACCTTTGCTAAGAGATGACTAGTTGAGGGGCCTGGACCACCACATTCTGCTTGCCACCTCTGACCTCCTAAACTTTAGTATTCTTTGGCCTATAAGTTGAGGGTATGCATGGTTTGGAAAGTGCATCTATGTACATTGCTTCATCTTGTTCTCATAGTGCCATAGAAAATATCTTGTTATCCTCATTTTACCGATGAAGAAACTAAGAATCAGAGAGGGCACATGAATTGCTAGGAGGCACTAGATCCAGGACTTGAACCCACGTCTGCTGGCTCCAAGTTCCTTCTTTGACTCTCTTTTCCCACTACTGCTCGACTTATGACCACGGTCGGGACCGCGGACCGGTCGTAACACGATTTGGTCGTAAGTTGAGTAGGCTATATGTACAGTTGAAATGGTGCACACGGAGATGGTTGTGCTGCCGGAAGCTGGTCCGCACTGTCGTATGCCCAGCTGGGCAACGTTTGCGCTGCCAGACGCGGAGCAGTCGTGGCTAGCGATTGTGGTCGTAAAGTCGAATGGTCGTAAGTTGCATAGGTGGTAAGTCGATCAATACCTGTACCGTCAGTTACTTCACCATCCCTATGGGTTCTAAGGGCCCCATGGTTCTAAGGCTCTGTGGCTGCAGGTTTCTTTGGTCCCCATGAGGCAGTGTGGGATGAGCTCAGGGAGGGGCATAATCAGGCAAATGTTCAGTCTCAAAGGTGGGGCTTCATGTCTGGGTTGAAGGGGACAGGGGCCCCATGTGTCCATCCTGAGGCTCCTCATTGTGGGCTTGGAATGAGACTCCCTGCTCTGTGGTAAAGAAGGCATGTCACTTTAACTGTCAGCACAGCGTGGTTTGATGCGTGCAGAATGGATCAGCATTCCAGCTGATTTCTTCATTAATTGACTTGTTTGTTCACCCATTCATTAATTCAGCGTAACTAGCATTGTGTGGTTGAATGCATAGGGAAATGCTAGGACTGAGAAACATGGACCTTAACATATTTTCCTGCCTGCTAAAAGACAGTGGAGTTTGCCATTCTTTTAACACATTCTTATGGAACTTGGGATCTCCCTTGCATTGGGAAAAACTAAGGCAATTTGTAAACACTTGTCAGGACACCTGGAGAATTCCAAATTAGTTGAAGTCATTATCACACATTAGTCTTAAGAATAAGTTATAAAAATATGGTACCTGGGACATATGGGCAAATGAGAAGGGAGGATGAGAGTCAAAGGTACCCCTAAACTATGGGTAACAACAGGGAAATGAAGGTGAGGACTGTGCATTAGGTGCCCACTCATCTCTATATGCCAAGTGCCTGACAGATAGTTGGTACTCAGTAAGTGCTGACTGAATTGAATTACTTGCCTGTCCCCAGATTCTCTTGTCTGTAGGAGACAAAAATGAGTTCTAGGGGAAGGCTGGGGCTGGGGTTGAAAGGGATTGTCTGTTTCCAGCCTTCCCTTGGCCTGGCTGAGCCAGGCAGTGTCTGTGTCTCTCTCCTCTTTATCTACGTCTGCCAGGCTGCTCATAGTCTGGTCACTCTATTAGGAACATGAAAGCTGGGAGCCTCAATTTCTAGGCCGTTAAGCAACACTGGGCTTCCAGTCATCTGGGGTTATTTACCAGGTTGTCAGTGTTATGTCTTAAGGATTGCTTCCTGGG